TCTTTGTTGTGTAGGACTGAAGTTCCCATTTTGTTGCTGGCTGCTGGCCGGGTTACCCTCAGTTCCTCTCGACTACTCTAAGCACCTTTCATTCTGTCTTCCATCTTCAAGCCAGCCACACCATGTCAAATCCTTCTCATGTTTCAATTCTCTGACTTCTTTTCCAAACAGCAGTAGAAAACTTTATTTTTTAAAGGTCTCATGTAATTAGGTCAGAAATACCCAGAAACTCTCCGAAACTTGAGGACATTTGTTTTGGAACTTTTTACTTTCTTTTATTTATTGGTTTATTTTAATTAGCTTCCAGTATACAGTACATTGGTTAGATACCTATATAGTTCATAAAACAATTCCCCCCAATTGCTCCCTCCCTCCCGTGACCCTCCACCTAGCCAACGTATTAATGCTAACTGCATTCCCTATGCCATGCCCCCCATCCCTGTGACCATCCATCAGGTACTAATTTGTACTTCTTTTACCTTTCACTCCATTCTCCCAGTCCCCAAAATTCCCTTCCCTTCTGTCCATCACCAAATTGTCCACTATATTTGTGAGTCTGATTTTGATTAGTTTGTTCTTTTTATTCCTTAGATTCCGCATATAAGTGAAATCATATAGTGTTTATCTTTCTCTGTCTGACTTAAATACCTTCTAGGTCCATCAAAGCAATATCTTTGTCCATCCCCTTCCTTTGAATATGTAGGGGTCTTGTTTTCTTATCCTTTCAGCCACTCTGTCTTTTGGTTGGAGCACTTAATTCTTTTCCATTTAAGGTACTTATTGATAGGAATGTAGTTGTTACCATTCTGTATTCCTGTTTTTTGGTACGTTTTTTTCTACTTAAAGAAGTTCCTCCAACATTTGCTGTAATACTGGCTTGGTGGTGATAAATTCCTTTACCTTATTTTTGTCTGGGAAGCTCTTTATCTGTTCTTCAACTCTAAATAATGGCTTTGCTGGATAAATTATTCTTGGTTGTAGATCCTGGGTCTTCATCCTGTCGAATATTTTGTTCCAAGTCCTTCTGTCCTGCATAGTTTTTTTTAAGAAATCAGCTGCCAGTCTCTTGGGTGTTCCCTTTTCAGTAACTATCTGTTTTTCTCTTGCTTCTTTTAATATTCTTTCTTTGTATTTAAAATTTGGCATTTTAATTATGATGTGTCTTGGTGTGGGCCTCTTTGGATCCCTGATTTTTGGAATTCTCTGAGCTTCCTGGGGTTTTATGTCCATTTCCTTCACCAGGTTAGGGAAGTTTTCTATTATTATTTCTTCAAACAGCTGTTCCACACCTTGATTTTCTTCAGTTATGCCAATCAGACGGATATTTGGAGCCTTAATAGTGTTCCGTATGCTCCTTAAATTATTTTTATAGTCTTAGCATCTTATCTCTTGCCATTCTGATTGTATGTCATTGGCTTTACCGTCCTGTAGATAAGGCATTTGATCCTTTTCTTTATTCACTTTGTTTATTCCTTTGTTTATTCCATTTAATATATTTCTCATCTCAGATAATGTGTTTTTCATTTCAGACTGGTTCCCTTTTATAATATCCATTTCCATTTTTATGTTTTTTTAATCTCTGTCGAAATTCTCACTGAATTTATTTACACTTCTCAAAAGTTCATTGAGCATCTTTAAAATCAGTGTTTTGAACTCTGCATCTGTTAGATTACTTGACTCACATTATATCTGGATCTCTGTTCTGTTCTCTCATATGGTTTCTGCTTCTTTGTCTTCCCATTTTGGCCGCCTTCCCGTGTCTCTTTCTATGTACAAAGCAAAGCTCCTAAGTCTTCTGGTCTTATTAGTGTGGATTTGTGAAGTAGGTGTCCAGTGGCATGGTCCTGAGAGGGGTTCAGCTGCAGGCCAAATTTAGCCTAAGGCTCTACCCCTGTGAGGCCACCTGTTAAGATTCAGCAAGCAATCCACAGGTTCTGTGCTTATAGTTGCCTCAAAAGGCTACACCAGAAACTGAGGCCAGGTGCCTCCAGTGTGAGTCTAGGCACTGCTCAGCATCCTTGCTCACCTGACTCGCTGAGGATATACCTGGATGTGGCTTGGGTAGGGCCGCAAGTTGGGGGAGGCGTGGTTTCAGTAATCCCTCTGGGCTGAGCCACCTCTGTTATCCAGTTTGATGATGTCACAGCTTTGGCAGAGCTGAGTCCGTGCACTTCGAGAGGGGAGGGCTCAACAGGGAACAATGGACACCACTGGCACTTCTGTACAGGATGAGTGAGTCTTGCCTCGGCCCTCACTCGGACCTCACTTGGACAATGAATGTCTCGGTGTAAGTCCCTGGCGCCTCCTGCACACAGCCTAATTGGCACTGGTGCTCAGAGCGAGCAGGTCCATCACTGCAGAAGTCCACTCATGGTCATGGCCCCTTTAAAAGGCATCTGCTGCAGCCTCTGTCTCAGGCACTCAGGACCAGGTAGCCCTGTGTCCTTACCCCATCCTACCTTCTGCTATTGCAGAGTGCTTTCTTGGACTTATCCCTAGTTGTATGGCTTGTTCATCCCTGGCGATTTTTCCTTGCTATTGCTCCTTGTTTCCATCACAACTTTGATTTGGTCTCTAGAAGGATGAACAGAACCTCTGTCATCTATGCCATTTTTTTTCTCTTCTAATGTCTGTCTTTTACTTAACATAATGCTTTCAAAATTTTTACGTGTTTTAGCATATATTTGTGTACTTCATTCTGTCTTATGGCTGAATATTGTTTTATCGTTTGGAATATTACATTTTGTTTATCCATTTTTCACTGATGGACATGTGAGTTGTTTCCACCATTGGCTATTGTGAATAGTGATGTTATGAATATTAATGTACAAGTATATGTTTGAGTACTAGGGTTTAATTCTTTTAGGTATATACCTAGGAGTAGAATTGGTAGGTTGTATAGTTATTCTTTATCTTTTAAACAACCACCAAAATTAAGTTATCCTAAGTAACTGCATCATTTTACATTTCTAGTTTTATTCCATTATGGTCAAAGGGGATAATTTGTATGATTTCAGTCCTTTTAAATTTGTTAAGAATTGTTTTATGTCCTAGCATATGGTCAATCTTGGACAGTGTTCTATGTATACTTGAGAAGACAATGCAGTCTGCTGCTGTTGGGTGAAATCTACCATTTTAAAATTTCCTCTTAATTCAGCATTTGTTTGGTTGCTATAAACTTTTGACTATTTTCCAGAGTTTCCACAATTGATTCTGACAGTTTTTACTCATTATTTTTAGTTTTTCTCTGGAGGAGCAGGCTTTCAGAACTACCTATCCCACCATTTTTGCTGGCATAACTCTCAGCAACTACTTTTTAAAACAAATATTTTATAATGTCCCTTTAATATCCTGAAAAAAAATTTATAGGTAATATAACTTTAATACACACAGAAGTTTTAAAAATTAATATAAAGGAAGTAATTCATAAAAAATAGTATGAATTTCAGTGTGTAAATGCTTATATTTGACATAACGAAGTAATGGTATGTTTGTACTTATTTAAGTAAGTTGAATTTAAGAAATGTAAGAACATCGGATTCCATTTTGTGCAGATGCTAATAAATGAAAGGCTAAAATCTAGTTATAAAGACTAGACTTTTATATGTACAGGGAATTAGAGAAATCACTTTAAGAGAAGTCAGGATAAAACACTGATACAAATTATAGACTAAAGAGGTGAAAGAAAGGAGAAAATATAATCTTACAAATGGGTGGGGCCTTATTTGAAAAATAATTATTTAGTAAATATTGAAGAAATATCAGAGCACATATCTTTTATTTTGAAATCATGACATGTCAGGTCAAATATTTTAGTCTTGAGTATTTAAGTCCTTGGAAATAATATCCTTTAAATGATAATGGGATTCTAAGATGGATTTTTTAAAAGCTGTGATAGGATATTTAGAACCAATATCAAAGTAAGCTTGAAAAAAATAGACAATTACAAAATAAGTGAAGGATTTAAATTCTTAATTTTTACACTAGATTTCTTATTCATATACAGAAATACCTATACATGATATGCAGTATTTTTAGAACAGCCAATGAAATTAAATAAGATACCTTCATTTCACGTGTTTCTAATTCAGTATTTGGTACCAAATGTCTTAAAAGGAGTCTTACATCCTATATTGCATATATAAAATTGGATGTGTTGCTTTACAGTAACCTTACGACTACACTAAAATATTTTCAAATACATGCATAATTTGAAATACAAGAGTAGGTAAATCAGCTTCCTTCCAAAAAAAAATGGATATGATAGTAATAATTTGATCCAGAAGCTTTCTTATTATACTATTTAAATCATATTTGACCTCCAAATTATTTTTTAGCTTAACTGTTATAAATGATGGCTAGCTTGTTTTCTACCCATTTCAAATAGAATAATGCCCTCTCTATATTGCAAGGTTATAAAAATTTAAATCTAATTGCTTATTATATCTTTTAAAAATAGGGTCCTGTTCTTTTTACCTCTGAGCAGTGGTAAAAATAATGAAATAAATAATTTTTATAATATGTTTATAAAAATCTATTTTAAAAATGTTACTAATAATTTAATAATAACAGGACACCTGTTGTAGAGGCTATTCCCTTGAGAAAATTAAATCTTAATCATGGGTCAAAATTTTGAGAGATTCTGTAATTATTCACATTTAAAATTTTTAATTCATAGTCTCTGGCCTTGGTTTGCCCCTCAATCAAAATCACTTTTTAGGGAGAAGTATACTTTGTGACAAAAGTACTTTGTTCTTTGGTTGTTGTATGTTTTGAAAATATGAAATAAACTTCCTTGACTTAAGCACTTTCCAAGCACACATTTTCTTTTTTAGGTATGTATTACTTTTAGAGAACAGTCTTTATTTTCATGAGAATGACCTATCGTCACATACATTTAATTACATTATGATTTTTAGTTGTTGCATATGTGAGAATGTGAAAAGCAGAGCAAAGTATGTATGTAATAGCTTTTTGTGTCTTGTGTTTTTTATCTGCAGCCTTCAAAAAAAATTAAGGTACCTGAGGAGAATTTCTTCAATGTTCCTGCTTTCTTAACTGTTTCGGGACAACTTCACCTAGAAGTGATGTCAGGGTACAGAATTTTCTTTACTCTTTTGCTTTAATGGACTACTGATTATGGGGTGGGTGAGAGTGCAGTAATGCTTCCTTTCCCAATGGTGAAACCTGAAAATTGAAACTAGTATTTATAGTTAGTCCACTTGAATTCACCAAAAGTACATTTAAATTGACAATTTGGCAATATTCAAGTTTCCTACTGAAAAAGAAAAAAATCAGTTTGGTCTGTATTTTTGTTTTTAATGAAAAATGTAACACTGGAAATTTGAAATTCTAATTTTTTGCATTTTACTAATCTTTTCTTGCTCAAATCTCAAAATATGTCATCACATTTAAATATAATTAATCATAATTATGAAAATAAAGTTAGTTCACACCTGAATCAGGTTTAGCCCATTTCACTGAAAAAAAAGAAAAAGAAAAATACCTGAAACAGATGTAAGAAAAATATTTTTAAATAATTGGTTTGCATAAATAAAATTAACCCACAGAGCCATCATGAGAGACATATGACTAAGAAAGTCTTAGAAGTCAGACCGCATTAGTTTTAGACATTCTCAACCCTCTGGAAAATCATTATACTCTTTTCAGCCTAACTTTCCTTTTCTTTAAAATGAGATCGGACAGGAAGGTCTTTAAAGTCTTATCTAAGTCTTACATTCTGTGATTCTGTGGGTGACTTCTTAATGCCGACTCAATAAGTACTTTCTCCCTTACATACCTTCGTTTTCTCACATAGAGATTGAGACTTAAAAATCTCTTTAAGAAATGACTCCAATGAAAAAAAGGGAATCTTTATGTGTTTCCAATTGTTTTTAAAATTCACAGGTTGGAAAACTCAGGAGAAAGAGAATAGTGTTCATGTTTATTTTTTTATGTACTTTACTGGCAGGATGGAAAGTCAGCGGTAGAATAAAGATGATCTTAAAAATAACATACTTTACTTAGATTCTTTTCTAATTTATCTTTGAGACAGGTATTATTAGATAATTCCAATAACCAATAATTGACAACATTATCAAAATACTGTGCAGAAAAACTATGATCATAATAGCCCTGTGAGACTGTAGGATTTGCAGAGCTGTATGTGGGAAAGGCCATGTCAGGCATGTTGTGGGAAGCTCCTAATGCCTGCCTGTCGGTGTAATTTTATTATTTTTTTATTTTAACGTTTTAATTTTATTCCTATCCCTCCCTCCCTCTCTGCTTTGGCAACCATCAGCTTGTCCCTTATTATCTATTGGTCTGTTTGTGTTTTGTTTATACATTTGTTTTGATTTTTTAGAGTTCACATAAAAGTGAAATCACATGATATTTGTCTTTGACTTATTTTACTTAGTATAATACCATCTAGATCCATCTATGTTGCATATGGCAAGATTTCATTCTATTTAATTGCTGAATAACATTCCAGTGTGTGTGTATGTGTATGTGTATGCGTGTGTGTGTACTAACTCTTCTTTATACATTCATCTGTCAATGGACACTTCAATGAGGTTGCTTCCTCATCTTGGCTATTACTACAGTAATGCTACAGTAAACATAGGGGTACAAATATCTTTTCAAATTAGTGTTTTTGTTTTCTTTGGATAAATACCCGTAAGTGGAATTGCTGTATTGTATGGCATCTCTGTTTTTGATTTTTGAGGAATCTTCATACATTTTCCATGGTGGCTGCACTAATTTACAATCCCACCAGCAGTGTACAAGAGTTCCCTTTTCTCTACATCCTTGCCATACTTGTTATTTGTTCATTTATTGATGATAGCCATTCTGACAGGTGTGAGATGATAGCTTGTGGTTTTAATTTGCATTTCCCTAATGATTAGTGATGTTTAGCATTTTTTCATATGTCTGTTGGCATCTGTATGTCTTCTTTGGAGAAATGTCTATTCAGGTTCTCTGCCCATTTTTTAATTGGATTGTTTGGGTTTTCTTAGTGTTAAGTTGTTTGAGTTCTTATATATTTTAGATATTAGCCCCTTGCCAGATATATTATTTGCAAATATCTTCTCCCATTTAATAGGTTGTCTTTTTGTTTTGTTGATGGTTTCCTTTGCTGTGCAAAAACTTTTTGGTTTGATGTAGTCCCATTTTTTTAATTCTTCTGTTGCCCTTGCCCAGGGAGACATATATAAAAAGATATTTCTAACAACAATAACAAAAGATTTACTGCCTATGTTTTCTTTTATGAGTTTTATGGTTTCAGGTCTTAAATTTAATTCTTTAATCCATCTTGAGTTTATTTTTGTATATGGTGTTAAGAAAATGTTTCAATTTCATTTTTTTATATATCTGTCCACTTTGTCCAACACCACTTATTGAAGAGACTGTCTTTACTCCATTGAATATCCTTGCCTCCTTTGTCATAGATTGACCATTAATTGACCAGTTCTTACGCCTTTCAAAGTGTAATTTTACAAAAGAAAACATGATTTATACAAATATAAAGTGAAGTTGTATCAAATATTTTATTCAATCCATTAATTATTTAGGGAACAAGTAAAATAGTAAGGCTAGTTCAAAGAACATTTGAGGAGCTGTGTATTCATAGGCAATTTAATAAAGGAATTTTAGAATAGGATTGCTAGGTTAAGTTACAAACTGGTTAATGTCCTAATGACCAATAAACCTTAACCTTTGCAATTTTGTCTTTACCTGACAAAAATGATTTACAACTCTACTGGACAAAATCTACAAGTTAACATGTAACTTTACTTAATATGGGATATTTAATTTAACAGTAAATAGAATAATGAAGCCAAGTACATTCCCCTAAGTAATTAAATAATCTCTGAGTCGGTCTATGTCCCCATATTACATTGAAAGGACAAACTGTCTACCTTTTGGCCTTATATCCAAGTTTTGGATAACCTTTCTTTAACAGCCGTTCAATATTTATTTTTTTCATCTGTAAAGTTAGAGGTAAGGTATCTTCCCCTCAGAAGCGTCATAATATGTGAAAGGTGTAAATTTACCAACTGTTTCCCTATTAACCAGTAGTTGATTAAATATGTTCCCTCTTTCCTAGTAAAATGCAGTGAACCACAGAACACGGTGTACAGTGAAAATTGACGGAAGATTAAATTGGCAGAATATGAGGCTTTGTATTTTTAATGTGTTATGAAGTATTTTTAATAATGGTAGTCAGTGTTCCTAATTTAATATGCATAGTTCTAGGACAATTAATATTCAGTACATCATGTTTCAGATTAATGCATGATTTAATTTCCAATAAGAAATCGGTAGTCTCTTTTTCCTCAGTTTTGTTTTTCTATAACGTTATTTAACAGACTTTTAAAATGGATTAAATGGTAGTTAAATTTAGAAGGTTAACATTTTCCAAAAAAAAAAACTATATTGGTTTGGTGGGTTGATGGCTTCATTTATTTTGTTGTTGTTTTTAATTAAATTTTCCATTTTAAAATAATTTTTAAATATAGAAAAATTCCGAAGATAGTGCAGACTTTTTTTATACATTTGACCCAGTTTCCTCCATCGATGACATCTTAAATTACCATGGTACATTTGTTAAAACTAAGACCCCAATGTCAGTAAATTATTATTAACTAATTTACAGACTTTATTTGGATTTTCTCAGTTTTCTTTTTTCTTTTTCCAGGATCCTGTTCAGGGTACCACATTACATTTAGTTGTCATGTTTCCCTAGTATCATCTAGTCTATAACAGTTTCTCAGTCTTTATTTTTTTCATGATTTGTAAAACATATCCTACTTTGGATTTGTCTGATATTTTTCTCATGTTTAGACTGGAGTTATATGGATTTTTAGAAACAATACCACAGAGGTGAAATGCTCCTCTTATCACATCATATCAAGGGGTATGTGATATCCACATGGTAATATTAACCTTCATTACATGGATAAGATAGTGTTTGCCAAGTTTCTCTACTGAAAATGTACTGTTTTTTTCCTTTCTCTACTCTATTTTTTGAAAGTGAGTCATTGAATCTAGCCCACCTTCCCTAGAGGTGAGAGTGAGGGGCTGGGAAGTGGGAGATGGAATTTAACACCACCTCCTAGAAGTGGGAGTATTCAGAATTCTGTAAGACAAATTTGTTATCTCTTTACCCTTGTATACTTATTTATGTAATCATTTATGTCAGGGTAAATTCATACATATTTTATAGTTTGTGCTATACTTCAATTCTGTTATTTATTTTGTTGCTCAAACTGTTTTAGTTTTAGCTATTGGGAGCTCGACTCTTGGTATTGTATATTCTATAGGTTTGGACAAATGTATAACAACACATATCCACCATTATAGTATCATACAGATTAGTTTCACTGCTCTAAAAATCCTCTGTGCTCCTCCTATTCATCCCTCCGTTCTCCCAAACCCCTCACATTCAGTGACCTTTCTACTGTCTCTAAAGTTTTGCCTTTTCTAGAATGTCATGTAGTTGGAATAATATAATATGTAGCCTTTTCAGATTGGCTTCTTTCACTTAGTAGTATGCATTTAAGTTTTCTCCATGTCTTTTTATGGCTTGATAGCTCATTTCTTTTTAGCACTGAGTAATATACCATTATCTGGATATACAACAGTTTATTTATCCAGTCACCTACTGAAGGACATCTTGGTAGCCTCTAAATTTTGGCAATATCTCAGGCTTGTTTTTAAATTTTTCCTAACCTAGCCATAAAAGCCATTTCTCCAAAAAGGCTTGGTTCTTTTTATGAGAAAATGGTATTTAGAAACCATGATTTAGTCACTGGGTATCTTCCTGCTACTGGGGGATTATTGCTCCCAAGCCCTATCAGCAGATATAGCTATAATACGTTTTTTAAATAAGAGAAACCTAAGTGTTTTCATTACATTCTGCCTATAAATATAATTTATAAGTGGGATGTTCTTTCTGAGAGAAGTAGAAATGTTCTAAATTATAAAACCTACAATTAAGAAATGTTGTATAATGAAATTTTCCATTTCTTGTCAGTTAAAGCCAGAATTGAAGGAAGCCTTAGCCTAATGTATTTGAAATAGTTTTTATTA